TCCACGATCTCACACTTTCACGCTCTCTCACACATTTTATGCATTTTGGCCTTCTCCATTGTTTTCTCTTCTCCGCTAAACCTAAAAGAAGATCAGTTTATCTCACAAGTTCTGCTATGGCAACTTCATCATCTTCGTCTCAAAAGTTAGCGTCAACAATGGCTGGGTTATTAACATCAGAAATGGGTATTGTTCTACACAAAGAACCAGAAAGAACCCTTCTAACACCGGATGAGAAATTAGAAGTTCTTTGCGAGTTTATGGTGGATTTTGAATGTATTGCGAAGAACGACTTTGATCTTCGTCCAACTGTATCTTCTCAAGGATGGATTAAGTACTTTGATAGATTGTTTGGTACAGTTTTTCCTCATTTGGTGAAGGAATTCTGGATACATGCAAAGGTCTACCCCCAAGTTCATATATTCATATGTTTTGGGAAAAGAAATCATAATCACTGACGAGATGATTCGAAAACTGATAGGGTATGAAGAAGTAGGCGGTGTTACTTATCTTCCTGTAGGACGCGTAGACATGGATGAAGTCTACATTGAAATGACGATGATCAAGGATTTATGCATCAAGTGGTCTTGGTTTTGTAGGTTGATACCACATGGACCAAGGCATGAAATGAGGATGATCAAGGATTTATGCATCAAGTAGGGTGGGAGGTTTAAAGTTGGATGCATTTCTCAAAGTCACCTTAGGCAAATTCATAATTTTTGTTTTAATCACAAATGTTTGTAAATTTGAATTCTTTGTCATCTTGACATGTGCTTGAATTTTTAGACATAGATTTGGAAATATCTTTGTAATTTTGAGTTGACACTTTTTATTGGGATTTAGACTTGAAATCTTGAATAACTTTTTAACTTGAATCATGAATCTTGGTTGTTATTGATAATAGAACTAGAATTGCAACATTGTGTAGAAACTTGAAGTTTGGTTTTTGAAATGAGGTATTGAAGCTTGAAATGTGGATTGAAACTTGCTTGTAATGAGATTACAATGGTAACCTTGTTTCTTTTGAAATGTCTTAAATTGAGATGAATTGGCTTTGAATGGATTTTGAACAAAAATGAAATTAGTCCTTGAACTTAGATTGGATAGCATATGATTTTGACACTTGGAATGGTGCTCTTAAATAAATGATGATAAGCTTGAGCAAAATCTATACTACTTGACCACCAAGAAATCTACGCCAACCTTCTCCTAACCTTGCATGTAAAACCTTTGATCCATTTGCATGCTTTTTGACCTCACACCAATTCCAAAACTCAAAATTTGCATTCGTAGTGAGTTCTTTAATCAGTAAACCAAGTCAACTTTTATTACAAGTAGTAAACAAATGTCTTGGCCACAACTTCATCTTTTGTATCATGTCATTTTCTTTGTGACTCAAACCACAAGTCTTTGAATTGACAATCAATGATCTCCAAAATGATGTCTTGCCTTGAAAAAAACTTGAGGATGATAAAACCTTGAAATATGGAGAGACGCTTGTCACAATACCCAAAAGTGACCTTTAGCTTAATGACACTCACCAGGCTCCAATGTAATGGGCAAGAAACCCTAATTCTCTTTCCATGATGACATAATTCAAAACCATTATCAAAATAATGGCCCATGACAAGAAGTCACTTAGTAAGTGCAATCCCTTCTCACTAAGGTTTGATCAAGACCGAGTCAAATTCCCTCCTGAATTGGGTTGTGAATGGAGATCCAATTAAACCAATATCAAAACATAACTTGAGCCAAAAATCCTTCCTTGTCCTTTCCTTGCAAACTGGCATGCTTGGCATGCACCATGGTATGATAATGATATGATGAATGTATGATATGAAGGGCTAGGGTGAAAATGAGGGTGTGACAACAACCATTACCAGAATAAATACATCATAAGCAAGCAAGGTAAAGGCAAAGAGGTCAAGAGTTTTCCAGTCTTGCCAAATATAATATTATTTTCCTCTCGAGTACAAGAATTCATTAACAAGCAGGCATTGATGAGGCATTTCCTTTGTTTTTCGAAAAGATTCATATGGAGGAATAACACCCCTGAGATAACTCAAGTCCTTGACAAAACTCATCAGCTGCTTCTTCAGATACAACTCTTCTTGAGAAAGATCTTCCCTTTTTCAAATGTACAACACATGTACCATAAAAAAATGACTCTCAGTCTAGTACTTAGAAAAAACTTTGGTACATCTACCCCCACCCCATCTCCATCAGCGCGCACCATCGCATGAGCCGAGCAGATGGAGGTCACCAGAAAGAATGGATTTTAAAAGTGTTGTAGACCCTTTAAAAAGCTCTGAAGCTATGAACGATCGTACGAGGGAAACTAAACAATAGCCAAAATCCTGAGTCACGGGGCTATAGTGAACCCTGCAGTGATGAAAGAAAAGGGTTAGAGAAGACTTCTCATTCGAGTATTCCCACAAATATTTGGAAGACTTTCACATACGCTCAACTTACAAGATGAAGTTGTGGCAGAGCCACTATCAAATGCTTAAGAACTCTGTCTAAGAAATATTAAAAGGAAGCCGAATACCCAGAATCAAGAAAATTCATTCACAAAAGAGGATAACACATTCACCATACTCGTTGCATATTATATCATTTTCACCTGGGGTCAAGATACCCCAATCCAAAAAGGAACCAACATCAAGAAATACCCCATCAAGATTACCCTTTGGATCGAAGACATAAACGATTGAAGAATAAACATAATCCACTCACGAAGCGCAAACATCTTGCTTCCACTTTTGCCTCATAATGGATACTATTTTCTCCGAACGTAGAAAAATGAAATATCAAAGGAAAGAAGGTAACAACGAATTGGAAGAGATAACTCAAAGAAATGGAAAGTTGACTCTTCAAGAAACATATGATAACATGCAAAGAAAAATAGACTATATCAATACTTCAAGTCACTTACATGCAACACTCAAGTGTTTCATTTTCCGAGAGTCACAACGAGGATACCTCCGAAAACACATTTGAAGCATGGGAATTAAAGGCATGAATTCCTAAGAAACTGAAACATTTTCTCTTGTTCTTTCAAGATAGATAAAAGAGTAATCGACATCTGAGGTTAATACGATAAACCCTTGCATTGTCAAGTGGAAACAATAGCTTAAGGGAAAACTGTTATGGACCGACCATATCGATCTCCAACTAGCCACTCCAAAGAGGTTGTGATGCTTCTGGAACCTTCTCATCGCATGAGAGTTATACTATAGGTAAGTGTAGGTGATACAAGTCCCATATACATCCAACGACTCCCCACATCTCACGCCTTACAAATAACATGTTATTATAACCTCTCCATTATATATAGAAATCTCGTCATTTTTAAGGTATTAATTTTCGAATTCAATTTCAATTTACTTTTCTCCTTCACATACTAACTTGAGCGTTAGAGAACTAACTTTATAGATCAGCACCCTCCCCAACGCACCAGAAACTCAAATCCACCATAATCATCTGTAATTATCCATTCTCATTCCATCTTTGATTCTGCATCATAACACACACTTCAAGGATTTTGCATCTATATGCTTCGAACAAATTCCACCTTGTGATGACAATTGAGCAATTTCAAGAGAAGTCATAGTTGTCTTGTATCACATACTCATGATATCATAATAAAAATTGAGAGAATACATTTTAGAGAGAGAGAATAATTTTGTTATATTAATGAAACATAAAATAGAAATTAGTTACATTAAATAGCATATGTGGTATTTATACACTAGCTAAGTTGTCCCGAATCTAACTACGCCAGTGCCGGCAACTATTCACTAACTATTTTCTAAGAATACGATTTTATACTTTCTTAAAACTAACTCTCTAATATTCTATACTTAATTATGTCACTTTTTGATTCGTTTTGACTGATAAATATAAAAATAAATATATAACTTTTTAATAAGCAAAAAGTATTTCATATAGACTAAAACCTAAGATATATGACTGTCCACCTCAACAAAATTAAACTAACTCCGCGGTCATGACACCATAATAAAATATATCATTTCAGATTACAACTATTAACCATTGATTTCAAAAATCAGGGAGCTAAGTAATTCCTAACACATAAATTTCATGGGAAATATATCATATAGCAATGGCAACAAAATCTTATCTAAAGAAGAGGGTACACAAAGGGATGAATTTGGAGGGAATGACATTGGACACGTGAAAAATCTGCTTCTGTTTTGTCCTTTTTCCCCTTTGGTTCATGACCTTTGTTGTCCTTTCAAAAAAAACTACTAGTACATATGCTTAGTGAAAAACAAATGCGTTTTGTAAGGTTTTCTTCAACTAATACATTCAATTTAGGTATCTGTAATATTTCTTTTGAAATTGAACGTAAACTTCCAAGAGTTGGATGTTTTGGCAAAGATGGGGAGTTGAACTTATATAGCTATCCCCAAAAATTATTTGTCAATCGAATATGATATACAAATTTTTAGTTTCATTGCAAACTCAAGAACTTTTTTTGTTCACCCCATGTATTTTAAAAACTGCTCCTGTTTTAATTTATCCATCATGACAGAAAGAGTTAAAAACATACAACTGAACTAAATAGTATTAAAGTTCCCTGACACATTCATTTGAAATCCATTCTCAAGAAATTTGAAGTTTATTGCAAAAAAAATCATTCACCCAATTCCACTTTCTATACAAATATTAATACACGTTACCTTTATTTGGTTGAAAATCCGCTTAAAAGGTGATTGAGTATTAGGCTCGTTTATGAAAAATGATGCAATAATATCTTTATCAAACGTTGAATTAAAGTAGCAAAACTAAACTATGTTATTTGCTCATTTTCTTTCAAACCAAACTTAGAATGTGAAATATACTGAAGTTGCGTGATTTTTTTTATAGAACTTGCGTTGAAATATCATACAACAATACAGATAGTGATTTATTTGATTTGGATATCAATTGAAAACTAAAGTTCAGTGGTTTATTTTATCGAACTCAGTCTCTCGTCATTCAGTAGCCTTTCCTTTCCGTCTGCTACTGCTGCCAGTTTCCAACAAGTAACAAACCATAGAATCCACATCGTCCCCAAAAATGCTGTATGCCTCGATAGCTTGTAGGTAACTAAATCCCATTGATAGTAAAGTATGCATGCTGCTGCTAAGACTAGACTCTTTCCCGTGTTCCATCTTGGGATCACTACCTGACGATCCTGCAACTCCAAGTTAGCTTATTTAGTATAAATTTCACATACAACACAGTATGGGCAATAGAACTGCAATACAGCTTTTAAAGCAAATAAACCAATTTGTATGAGATACTAACTTGCTCCAGAAGAAGATGGCTCAGCAGTTGATGTAGACGATTCTCGATGCCCACGTTGGTGCTTTAATGTACTACCAGCAAGATATTCAGCTCGAGAAGCTTCCATTACAGAGCGCTCAATTTCCTTCTCTGTGAGCTCAAGATCAGAGTAAAACCTCCCCTCAGCTAATAGTGCCTGTCAGAAGAAAGTTGTAAAAACTAAGATCATCAGCCTACAATATAAAGAACATAAAAAGTGCACAATGTTAAAAATTATAAGTTGAGATGCTTGCATTATCGATTTGTTGATCTTGCTGAGCTTTAATAGCAGCTTTGACTTGATCTTTGTCAGCATTTGTCTGCATAGTAAATGAAAACGTACAATCAACCGTTAACAATCAATTTCAGTTCAATGTGCGTACTTTCATGAGACAGTTCCAAGTTAAAGGCCCTTTCATTGGAGCTCCTACAATACTCAGTTTTCTAGAAAATTTAATGCATAATTCAATTTTTTAGGTTTTTAAGTTGGAAGATAATTAACAGTTCCTTCATAAAGTAAAATAGAAAGAAAAAAGAACGCCGCAATGTTTACAATGGTAGCAAAGTACCCACCCCACGAAGAGAGCTGAAACCAAGTCCTTCACCAGTTGTTGGACGCCGTGGGTCAACAAGGGAGTTGTAATGGTTACCATAATGAAAACTCAGGCGTACTGGTGGTGAATCAGTGTCATAGCTTCCATGAAATGTATTGATAGGCTCTGCATCAATAAGTTATGGTATTGAATAAAATGGCAAATGACTAACGACTATAAATGAAGATCAGCTCTACCTGTGGAGTAGGAGTATATATGAATAGGTCTATTATACATTTCAGACATGGCTTGGATCTCAACATTGTTGCCATAAACCTGCCAACAAGGGTAACATATTTACACCAATTCAGAAAGTTAAAAAGTACACACCATCTATCAAATAACTAAAACAGCTAATGTTATAAGTTGAATACGATCATGACTAAAATTCAAGTGATTCCTCATTTTAGAGGGAAAAAGTAAACTTTCACTACATAATCATTAATAAGAAAATCAAGGGAGAAAAATCCAGAAAATACATAGTTGTAATGCATTTGCATACTATAGTAAAGTAATACATAGTTGTAATGCATTTGCATACTATAGTAAAGTAATAGTAAGAATCCATTTATTTATCATTGGTTGTTGAGATCTCTCTTAATTTAACTTAGAAAGGGAATACTCACTAAAGAGGAGGTAAATTCATAGTGAATTTGAGACATTTAAGATCATGTGTAAGCTTGTAACATATCCATTGTTCATTGGTGTAAACAATGATTGGAATTTCATTAAAAACATGTAAGATTTTTATCATATGAAATGGGGTATTGACGTACCTTTCAACACATTTATCCAAAAAAACCAGACAACACTAATATGTAATATGTACACATTGTAACTTCCTAGTTGAAAAGAAAGAACCAAGTATACTTCACTAATTAACAAAAATGGGAAATAGAATGTTGTGACGCACCCTAAGACTCAAATATGGTTCATTTATGCAACAGATAGACAGCCAAACAAACTATTAATGCATTTAAAATTTTACCAAGCACACCCAGCCAAACATACTTTTCTAAGGGAAACTTGCACCAGCTGTCAGTGAGTAAAACTAACAGCTACTGCACCTAAATTAAACCAAAGATCCATGTCTATAACCCCACCAATTCTATTGACTATTTGATCGTAGCAAGAATACAAATAATTCCCTTAATCACAAGATTTAATTGCCTAACCTTAGACATTGATGAAAGAACTGTAAAGCTAAAGAAAAATAAACTTATCTGAACATCTTAAAAAGAGTGAAGCAATAAGATTTTGGCACAATGTAACTAGCAGGAAAAAAGAAATATCTGAAAATAAAGATTGATGAAAGAAAATTGTAGAGAAATGAAGACCTAATCACGAATCACAATCTAGATAGTTTGACAAAAACAATATAACCATATGAAAAATGTTAGTGATTGTGCATGTGCATTTTCAAATACTGATTGAATTGATCAATCCTGTAAGTTCAATAGTACAGCTTTCAAAACATTTGTGAAAATGGTATAAATGACATTGCTAGAAGGGAACAATCACAAACATCTGAATCAATTGGCCAGTTAAAGTGTGTGTATGTGCTTTTTCAACTACTAATTGCATGAATTACTACCACGAGTACAAAAGACAAAGTGCAGCATTCAAAACATTTGTGGAGATTTAACCTAAAAATATTAAGGAATTTATTTGAAAAATAATACATGCAAGGGAAATTTTGGCGTGTTTATTTTAAAATCCTAAAGGTTAAAATGTCATGAAGTCAAAAAAGAAACCCAAATAATGCTGCAACATGCCTTATCTCTTCTCTTCCTCTTACAGTATGAGGAGAAACCTTCTGTTATAAATTGAGAAAAGTGATCCCTCTCCCGCTCCTGAAGACATAAAATCAGTATAAGTGATGAGGTTTGTTTGATTCACAGGAAGTAACCTAATAAAATTAGAAAGAATGAATGAAAAGCAAGACCAGGAAAATAAGATGCAGTGTAACATATCACAGGAGTTTAACCAGAATGGGCAAATCTAATGAGTTGGCCCAGATAATATAATTTTTTGTTAGAACATTATTTCCTTCATACCGGTATTTGAAAGAAACATCCATGAAGTTGAATTTATACTGCTAAAATTACACTAAAACACAGATGCTAAAAGAGTCAATCATAGAATGATAGGAAGTTAGTTTGATTCAGAGGCAGTATTTTTATAGAATAAGAAAGAATGAATCAAAAGCAAGACCAGAAGGAAAATGGGCTAACTAAGCAAAAAGGAGAAAATGTGATGTAATGCAATAAATCAAGTGCTGAACAATATTATTTAGAAAGAAAACTAGTTCCTTCAATTCATATGCTGGCTTATGTTTAATATGCTTCTACAAGTGCAGAATACTCTAAGATATTAAAGTTGGGAACTTCCCCTTCTTCAACAAAGTTCATGTTTCAATTACTTCTGATAATAATATCCTAGTCATTCAAACTTATTCCTTGCTTATATACATCCTAGAAGATAAAAACACATCCATCACTAACTTATTCTCAAAACCCTAACATTTTTGTTGATTTTGTAAATAATCAGAAAGTCCCAGACATTCCATCATGCAAATACTGGGTAAAACCTAAATGCATTTAAAGCCTTCAATATGAATCCCTGAAGATAATAATATCCTAGTCCTTCAAACTTATTCCTTGCTTATATACATCCTAGAATATAAAATCACATCCATCACTAACTTAAAAGGAAGCCTTCTTAAATCCCTTACCGTAATTGCAAAAAATAGTTTTAAAACCACAACCATAGTGGCAGAATGGTTCAAGCTTATTCCTTGCTTATATATATCCTAGAAGATAAAAACACATCCATCATTAACTTAAAGGAAGCCTTCTTAAATCCCTTACCGTAATTGCAAAAAATAGTTTTAAAACCACAACCATAGTGGCAGACTGGCACTGGCAGTGTTCCTAACTCTTTAGAATGTGCTGATTAATTTAAAATTTTGCTTATTAAACAAGCACAAAATCCATGAACTTTAATAAGAAATGAGACCTCCTTTTAGGAGAATACTATTAAGCCCATGAACATCATATCATTAAGTCATACAATTGATTGGAAGCTGACCTAACAAGAACTAAGAAGAACAATTTATTTATTTATCATACAACCACAAAACCCATGAACATTGATAAGAAACGAGACCTCCTTTTAGGAGAATACTATGAAGCCCATAAACATCATATCATTAAGTCATACAATTGATTGGAAGCTGACCTAACAAGAACTAAGAACAATTTATTATTGTTACAACAATGCGGCAACATGGATATTGAGGGAAAAATACATTTAGCACACAATATAAACATAACATAGAATCTATTATTGAAAAAGCAAACATACCATGTAATCTATGCTCATCTGCCTGACCAAATCATAGAGTTCTGAGTCCCCATACACTTGGTCTGCAACAGCACGAAAAAGGCAATTGCCATCCGCTGTCATTCTTTTTACTTCATAGCCTTTCACCCTTTTAATATCAATTTCAAACTGCCGCTCCCTTTCCTGACATGGATGCCAATACCAATTTTATAAGTGATATTGTTTCAGTGAAGGCCGTCAACCAACCTTCTAATTAACTAATCTATAAGATGCAATAGTGGAAACCTAACATATAAATTCTAATATAGGAAACCTAACAAAACAGCTATTTCAAAACTAGGCCAAAATGAAGGACGTAGAATTAGGCATTTGGCCATACGAAAGAAAGAAGTGATAAAGTAATATCTCTGACATCTAAATGAAGAATCCTAGTTAAAAAAGTGTAGGATAATTTATTAAAGTCAAACATTATTTCATCACCATGATTCTTCTCTTGTAGCATGAAGAGAGACCAAATTATCCACATTATACCTACACCAAGTATTACCTTAGACTACACCCTCAAATATTATGTCCTAAAAGAATGGCGAATTATGAAATGAAGCTCAATAGAACATACAACAGTTAATTATTTAATTTCTCACTGATTAACTTCTCACTGAGACTAGTTAACTTACTGCATCAGCATAAGAGGACACATAGCATGGATTCTGTTCATCAGCACTATTATACCCCTCACTTTCACTATGAGCCTTGGGAGATGAAGGCCGAGACCCAGCAGGTGAAGACCTAGCTGAAACAACAGGCCAGACAGCTGTTCTCCTTGGTGATCCTGCATTAACAGCATTAGGAGACCCTGATGCACTTCTTCTTGAAGTTAAGTTAGTTGCGGAAGGCTTTGGAGGTGGAACAGGTGGAGGTGGAGGATGTGAACTACCACCACCAACATTAGCAGGATCATCCTCACACAAGCCTTCTTTCTCTTTCGGTTGTCTTTCTCCAGTCAACCCTCTGATTGATTCTAGAGAACCATCAACCTCTTCTTTAACATCGTTCCCAGGAAGATCAGCCAACACTTCCATTCCTAAAGGTGTATCATTCTCCTCCATACGAAGACTTTCCATAAAAAGCTCATCACTCTTTGCCCTGTTACTAGTCCCAGCATACTCCAAAATCTCATCACCAACAGACAGTTTATGTTGCTCCTCTACACTTTCCTCATCCTTAGCAGCCGATTGAACCTGTGCTCCATGCTCCGGCCGGGCGACGGAAGAAGACCCAGCCCGGCTATGGTTAGGGTTCTGGTTAGGGTTATTAGGGTTAGGATTAGGGTTCTGAGAAGTACCACCAGTGGAAGAACCACGCTGAACATAGATGCGAGTCATGGTAAACTAGTATCTGGAACAAGCCACCGAAAACGATGGCGTATTAAGCACCTTAGTGATCCAAAACCCTAAACCAAAACAGCTTATCACGTGTTCTTGCCCTGGGCGCAGTGATGCCAATGCCTTTGCTGAACGATTTCTTCAGATCCTCGCAACAAAACGATCTCTGCATTCCCCTAATAATTCTCATCAGACCCAAACCCTTCAACTTTAAACAACAAAACCTTCTTTGAGATGTCGAATTTACCGAGTTTTTCACCACCGTCGAATAAGCTTCCTCCTCCGCAACCGCCACCTGCACCAAACACCATCATCATATTTTTTTTATCAAAATTATAAAAAAAAAAAAAAAACAGCAAATATTTCTAATCGTCGAAGATTAACACATCAACAAAAAATCAATTTCTATTTATAAAAATAAAATTAATCGCACGCAGAAAAATCAAATCGTAAGATTTAACAGAAGAGGGATAGAAATGGGGGATGAGTTAAACCTGTCAGAATCGAAAGAGATTAATGGAAGAAAAATTAGGGTTTTGTTTGTGAGGAAGGGAAAGAAAAGTGAAGAGTGAAAGGTTAAAATGTTGAGAGAGAGAGAGAAATAGAAAGAAGAAGTTGCTAGCGATTTTAACGGTGGAAGGAAAAGAGAGTGGCACGTGATCTAGAGTCTACCAAACGACACGTGGTTAGTTCATACAGTTAATAGCACGTGCCGCTTTAGTCAGATGGTTCATGATGATGGATGAATGGTGTTTAATGTTCAGTGAGTGACATGGCAATTCATACTTCGGTTTTGGTTTTTGAACCGTTGGATTGAGCATCGTGGAAGAGAGTTGGCTCAGATTATTGCTCCAAGATGGCACATTTTATTTTTAGTTTTTAGATAGAGTATTCACACTCATTATCCCCATTTTTATTTTTTAGATGGTTTCACGCATTATTTTATATTATATTTCACTTCAATATTTTTTAAACAACTCAACTACATTTTTTAAATATCAATACAACTCATCAAAAACTCTAAAATTGGTCTCACCAAATATCACAATATATCCAACATTTTAATATTGGTCTGCAATTGGAATATTACCGTTGAATTATTCTATCAAGAAAATATTACCTTACATTTATTAGAGTGGTTTTATCATTAATATTAATTTTGTCATCAATACTACATTTATTATTATTTTCCAACATGGCCCTTGTAGAACCGTTGTTTAGTTTGAATACGTTGTTTAATTAGAAAACGCATTGAAGAATAAATTATTCATCTTCTTCTGACATCGTTACTTTGGAATCCGTGTAGCAATGTCATTTAAGACCACCTCCAACGGTGGTTTTTCAAATTGGTTTGCCAGCTTGGCATTGAAATTGTCGACAAAAAGTTGTTCCAGCGGGTGAACGTTACAAACATAAGCAATGGTTCTTCATTTTTTTTATTATTAAAATAATCATTTAGCCGTTGTGCAACGGCTTTATTTTTAATTTTTTTAATTTTATTTATTTATTATAAATATAGGTTTGTTGGAAAATTTGTATACCAATCCTATTTTCTCTCACTTTTATTTACTCTTTAATTTTAAATTTTTCTCTCACAATTTCATCATTTTATTCATAAATATTTAATTTTTTTCCAACAATTTCTTCTCATTATCATTTTATTTCAAATTTTCATCTTTTTATTTCAAATTACATTTGTTTAGGCCAAATGGATCCTAATCATTTTCATTATCAACAAGCTATGTTCAATTTCATGCAAAATTATCAAAATTCTAATTCTCAAAATTCTCAAATTCCATCAGTACCACCAAACTCAGCCATGTTTTTTCCGTCACCAAACAATCCAAATATGTATCAAAATCCTAATCCTCAAAATTCTCAAGTTCCACTGTTTTCTACTCAAGTTGGTGTTGAAAAAGAAGAAAGGGTTCTCGTTAAAAAAAATCTCGAGAGCAATTTACAAGGGAGGAGGATATATGTCTTATCCAATCATGGCTCAATGTTTCAAAGGATCCAATTGTGGGAGTTGATCAAAAAGCTTAGACTTTTTGGCATAGAATCGCTGCAAATTATAACCAGTATCGCGGGCAATTGCGAGAAAAGTTAAGGGGTCAATTAAAATGTCGATGGCATCGAATAAATGCGTTGGTTCAAAAATTTGTTGGGTGTTATAGACAAGATGTCAATGGAAAGAAAAGTGGGACATCAGAGAACGATATCATGGCTGCTGCACATGCTTTTTATGCTCAAGATCAAGGTACAACATTCAATCTTGAGTATGCATGGCGATTGTTAAAAGATGAAGCTAAATGGGGCATCATCGAAGAATCGATTGGAAATTCTTCAAAAATGACACATACTTCTGCTAGTGGGGCATCATCGGAGATCCCTGATACACCTTCAAGTTATGAGTTTAACTCATCATCACCAATGGAGCGTCCAATGGGACAAAAAGCAGCAAAAAGGAAGGGTAAGGCAAAGGAAATTCCAAATGCAACGCAAGATGCAAGGAATAAAAGAGCAGAAACAATGGAAAGACTTGCGCAAACTAAGGAGGACGAGATATAATTAAAGGTAATGCAAATCATGATGAAAGACACTTCTACTATGAAAGAAAGTCAACGAGATATTCATGAAAAATATTGTACTAAAATGAGAAAAAAAATATGGACGGTAGTTAATACCACTTTAAATTATATGTAAAATGACCATTACTACCATTTAATTTATCAAATCTTATGTAAAATGGTCATTAGTACCACTTTAATTTATCAAATCCTATGTAAAATGGTCATTAGTACCACTTTAAATCATAATAAATATTATGTTATTCAAACTAGTCGTTATTCAAACTAGTCGTTATTCAAACTAGCCGTTATGAAAAACTAGTCGTTATGAATAACTAGTCGTTATTCAAACCATTATATATACTACCACTTGTGTCATTGTTTTCTCATTCTCTTATTATTCCTCACTAAAATATGGATTCAGACAATTCAGATAATTACGATCAAGAATTTTGGGAGTTAGTTGAAGAAGAATTAATGGACGACAGTGATGAAGAACAACATCTTCAAAATGAATGTCAATTTGGAAGTTCCTCTAGGCCAAAGAGAAGAACTACGGTAGATCGAGGTCGTGAAGAAGGCACAATCGGTTATTCAATGACTACTTCTCAGAAAATCCAGTATACACAGATGTACAATTTTGAAGAAGGTTCAGAAAGCATAGGCATGTGTTTCTTCGAATTGTAGATGCCCTCGGCAATCATGATGAATATTTCCAAATGAGGGTTGATGCAACTGGTAAGATGGGTCTTTCACCATTGCAGAAATGCACATCTGCTATTCGTATGTTGGCATATGGGTCTCCCGCTGACATTGTAGACGAATATGTTCGAATCGGTGAAAGTACCTCAATTGAGTGCTTAGAAAGATTCGTTAAGGGCGTGAATGCCGTATTTGGGGCTGAGTATTTGCGAAAGCCTAACAACACTGATATTGAACATCTTTTACAAATGGGTGAGTCACGTGGCTTTCTAGGTATGTTGGGTTCCATTGATTGTATGCACTGAGAATGGAAAAATTATCCTGTTGCTTGGAAAGGACAATTTTGTCGAGGTGATCAAGGTAAACCCACAATCATGCTTGAGGTTGTGGCATCACAAGACTTATGGATTTGGCATGCATTTTTTGGTATTGTAGGTTCTAACAATGACATTAATGTGCTAAACCAATCTAACGTGTTTAACGATATTTTGGAAGGACATGCTCCCACTGTGCAATATACAATAAATGGAACACCATATAATATGAGGTATTACTTAGCGGATGGTATATATCCTGAGTGGGCTACATTTGTCAAGACCATTTCAATGCCGCAGGGAGAAAAGAGAAAATTATTTGCTCAACATCAAGAATCAGTTAGAAAAGATGTGGAGCGGGCATTTGGAGTGCTCCAGTCTCGATTTGCAATTATACGTGGTCTAGCGCGTGCTTGGCACATGGAAACCCTCAAGCATACAATATATACTTGCATCATATTACACAACATGATTGTTGAAGACGAACGACACACATATGGAGGTGATTTTGATTACTCTTATGATAATGTAGATGACAACAACTCAACAACTGAAACATTTAACAGTCCCCATCTGAATCTTGCAACAAGACTACAAAGAAGAGCAAATATTCGTGAAAAATAGGTTCGTCGCCAACTTCAAGGAGATCTGGTCGAGCATATTTGGGAACGTTTTGGACATGAGGAAGATGAAACTTAAATGACGAGTTATGTGATGTTATTAATTTTTATTGTTTTTAATTATGTGATGTTATTTATTTTTATTGTTTTTAATTATGTGACATGTATTTAAATTTAATTTTAATTATTATTTTCAATTTTATGTTTAACTTTAATTTTATGTTTAATTTATATTTATATTAATTTAAATTTAAATTTTAAATAAAATAAATTTAATATAAATAATATATTTTAAGTAAAGTGGTGGGACCCAATATAGATTTTTTGGAGTTGCATCATTGGAGTGAAAATTAAATGAGTTGCTTTAAAAGAGTGGGTCCCACAAAGAACTTAAAAATAGATTGCACCATTGAAGGTGCTCTAAGCACCAATAATCATGCTTATGAATGTTTATCTAGTGGGATATTCGGACATTGGGACATTGATAGGATATGTGTATTTGTTCCTAAAATATAATAAGAATAAAAGAAAAGGAAAATTAAATTATTTTTTTTTAAAAAAAGTATTATTTTTAAAAGAGATATTAGTGTATATAATTTTTTTCATATTTAAAAATATTTGAATCAATAATATATATACTTATATTTATAAATATTATTTTTATTTTGATAATTTTTTTAAATATTATTATTTAATATTTTGATTAGTAACTTCATATTTGTGTTATAATTATTTTAATTTTGTGTTTTAGAGAAATAATAAGTTATGATTTCATCAAATTTTGTTTATCAAATTTTGTTTTCTAAAGTTGGTATGCACATTTGTTTTAAGAAGAAACAACAATATCAAAACTAATATGATTAAAAATAAAAATTATTGAAATTTTTATTCAACATATCAATCATTTTAGTCTTTTTTTACAAATAAAACAATTATTTATAAAAATATTAGGATCAATAAAAAACTTTTCAAAAAAATATATTAAGATTCACTCATATATTTAAAAATAGTTTAAAGGGTTAAATATGTTTATTATTCTCCTAAATATCTCAAATTTCGTTTTTAATCCCCTAAAATATTTTCTTCAAAGAATGGTCATTCTAAAAAATTTCATCCACACTTTTGTTCCCTAATACTAAAATCGTCGCTAAGTTAAAAACCATCGTTAAAACTATCGTTAATTTTATCGCTAATTTGTAAGAATCGTCGCTAAGTTGCAGGAGGGACCAAAAGTGTGGATAAAAATTGTATGAGGACCATTCTTTAAATGAAATATTTTGAGGGACTAAAAACGAAATTGAGATATTTATGAGGACTATAAATATATTTAACCCTAGTTTAAATTTATACCATATGCACCACTTCTTTCTGTACAAGCTCCCGGAAATTTGAGCATCTTCTAGAACATGAGAGTACTCAATAAGGTTTTCTTTTTTATGAGAAATAGTATTTTTACAGAGTTTGGGAAGCGATAAAGAAGAAGTGGTAGTAATAGGTTGAGTGTTTAGTTCAGATGTTTTCGTGTTTAAGTGATTTTCTTCCTTACTCACTTTCTTTATTATATTCATACTATATGCACCTCTTCTTTTTGTACAGGCTCTGATACCACACTGTTCGGGAGCCTCACATATCATGAAGCCAGTCTTAATTGTAGCGTCATTAAATAGTCAACCATAGGCATAACATAAACTAACAATTAAAAATGAAATTTCATAACAGCAAGGATCGTAGTATGGATCAATGGTCAGATGTTTTTTGTAGGCAGGTGTAGAGCATAGTTGCATCTATGGGAGATTTATGATATGAATACAATAACTACAATTTTGAGGGAGAAAGAAAAGATTTTTAGAAAATGTTTCTTCTTAAGCACACAAGAGAGTTTATTTGTGATTGCTTGATGAAATATATTACAAGAGCTCTCCTTTTATAACAAAGGAGGTACAAATAGGACAAAAGCAACTGTATTTACAAGCATGACATTTTTAATTATTTGCCTGAATTTTCGGCGAACAACCTCTAGCCTCTTATTAAAGTTTGTGTGCAGGATCGTCGTAGACTATGTGTTAAGTATAGATTGAGTATTTGAGTACTTAGGTCTAGAATGGTAGATGAAATGCGACGTTTGCACGGTTGAACTAACTCAATGACAGAAAAGTATGACGAAACTGTAAAGATAAATAAACAAACGAAAGAAGACTCGTAAAATAAATTGCTTAAGTGTAAAAATAGACGCATGCATACATTTCCACATAATTGACTTGTTTTTTCTCATGTGTTAGTATTGTGACTGTATTCTTTTCAATGCTGTAAAACACGGCCTTTAAAACTGAAATTGAAATCTCCATAAATAGGCCTAAAAAATAACGGTTACTTTGTTGCCAGTCGTCCCCAGCGTGCCACGTGTCCATTTATGCATGCCCACTACCTGTGTAACTTCTCACGTTCTCGTCCATTACAAACTTGCTTCATACCCAGAAACTTTGCTTCGACTTCAACTAGGATGGCCATCTGTCGAACCTACTTCAAAGTTCTTTGTCGAGGAGTTTTCGACCTTGGTTTGCATGATGTCCTGTTGAACCTGCCATTCTTTCCTTGGTCGAAATTTGCTAGCTAACAAATTGCCCCCTAAAAGGCCAGCTTCGACTGAGAATTGGCGTTTTAACTTCTGCCAAAGTTCGAATTTATGTCTCGTCTGCTGACATCACGCGCCATGATGACAATTTTCTGCACCATGATTTCCAATGGACACTTCATAATTTGTCATGATTTCGGCTACTCCCTAGATCGTGGGTTTTCAACTACCCCCATTAAATTTCCCACTACAATGGAACTGAACAGTCGTGATACCGCTGTCAATTGCCACTTGTCCACCGTGGCTTTTTTATTCTTGGTGTCTGTCGCTAC